AAGGATGGGGCCACGGACGTGGAGAAAGACGACGATGATGTGGCACTAAAGGCATTCAGAGGGGAAGGGGAAGGTGAAGGTTGTGTGTACACAGAGGCAGTGGGAGCGTTACTCAAAAAGGGCAGAATGTATCAGTTAGAAATGAACTCCTTTTAGGATCCCCTTTTCTTTTTTTTTTCTCTCTGATAATATTGTAAATTGCTGAAATATATATACTCTTAGGCCAGGGCATCAGATGAATGAAGAATTAGAAAAATACCAACGAAATTTCATTACCATAATTTTAAATTTATTAAAAATAGTACAATCTTTATTTTTATAATAATTAGACTCTTGTGCAGGTGTGTACATAAATTTTCTTTTTCAAAATTTGAGTTCTAATTAGTTTTGGACCCAGTAAGAGCCCAGCCTCAGTATTTGGGCCCAAGGACTCAACTCAAACTTTCCTTAGAATTATCACCTACCAAATATTGAATTGATGTTTATTAGAACTTTAATTTATAAGATTAACAAGTGCGAAACTGTTCATACTAATAAGTGATTTAGTATTCGAAATTAGAAACATGGAATATGTGTAAACAAGTAGCGGTTACCGTCTAAATATTTAGTTCTATCTAAAATAATATTAATTTATATGTTATCATATGTGTTATAAATTTTGTAGAATTATTATTTTACAATATTATATAATTTATAAGATATTATAAATTACATGTTTTACTTTTAAAAAAAAATCAAATGGAATTTATAGAATGACAATTTGATTTAGATTAAATGGTTTTAGTAGCAAAATGAAGAGAGGTGGGGGAATATTGCATCATATGTTGGGCACATTCCCCTCTTTATGCTACACTTTATTACATTATGTGTGCCCCTACCTTATCTTTATGCATCCCATATGATAATTTTAGGATTGGCCCATGCATTAAAAAAAATATAAATAATGTATAAACCCATATTTGACTTTATACTATGAACCCTTTCCTTCCATTTCGTCTTTTCAAATTTGACTTGTGTATTTTTTTCATTGTAATGCAATATAAAAAACATATCATCTCAAAATTCGATGTAAGCAAATTTAAAATATAAGTCTTTATATTGTTGCCAACCTTTCATAGCATTGTAATTAAGACAACCATTTATTTTAACCTCGAATGCAAATCTCTAACTCATATTTGTTGTATTATTAAAATAAGTTTTATTTTAAAAAAATTTGAATTAAGATAAATTTTTAGGTAAAGTTTAGAAATTAAAATAATAAAAAAGATGGAGAGATTGATATAATATGAGTGACACTTGGCAGATGGGCAAGGCCCCTACTTAAAAGCCTAGGGTTGTTAGGTTGGGTCATCCTGTAATCCTGTTTGAACCATAAATTTTCATAGGAAATGATAAAATTTTGTATTAACTTTTATAATTAAAATTTTTAACTTTTTAATATACAGATGAAGCTTCCCTCCTCTTCGTTTTCCCCTTGTTCGTGATTGTTTTTTTAGATCTTCTTCTTACCCTATAAGTTTTTTCTAATTTTAAGTATAATTTAATTATAGTTTAGTAGGATCAAGCTCATAAGCTCATAAGATTAGTCCGAGACATGTGTAGGTTGGATTAGAATACTTACAAATATTTTTAAAAAACTTTATATATAATTTAATTAATTAATATTATGTGTTAATTAGCGGCTTAAATATCGTTTTTCACTTTTTGATCAAAAGAGAAATAATTTCATATTTCAACTGCAGCCTTTCCCTCCCTTGCTTTTTCTCTCAAGTCTTTGTTGTTTTGAAACTTACTTTTTTTTTTTTTTGTCTTTTTAACTTATTGTTTCTTAATTCTTTTACCTTATGAATGTATTTTTCTGTTTAAAGATTCACATCGAAAAAATTAAAAGACTTAACAAGATTTATAAATATATAAGCTATTTCTTTTATTTTTAATTGGTTTTAAGATGAAACATGATGAATATTAAGATTTTAATCGTTAATTAATTGTTATATTTTTTTCCAAATCACTCCAGGATCATTCTTGAAATTTAATTTTTTTAGAATAAAAATAGGAATATAATATTGGGATGGATGATTAAACCCAACCAAACTAGTTGACAGAATGATTAAATCATGAAACAATACTCGTGGGGGGCTTCCTTTCACTTTTCCATTATTTTATGTTCTAAAAACTTAATATTACTAGTTATTCATTTTTTATTTACCAAAAAAAAAAAGATTAAATTACATTTCTACACCTATACTTTTAATCTGAGTTTCAATGTATTCCTTCTCTTTTAAAAAGTTTTATAATTTTCTCCATTCATTGGTTAAAACTTAATAAGATGTTTGTACCGTGTCAGTAGGAAGTAATAGATCAAATCTAATATAATAACTAATTGTAATTGCCTTCAAAATCAAAATAATACTTTAAAAAACTAATCCAAATTCAGATTTTTCAACGAACCAAATCCCAAGATCATTGAACAAAATATCTTATACGAAACTTATTCGACACATCTACAAATAACCAAAATGAAAAGTTTAAATTTCCCTCTAAACTCATCCGAGTAGAGAGCAGGGGTACACGGATGAACGAGTACTTCATACGAATGAGAGAATGGGAGGGATCATGAGATCATAGGAAAAAGATTTAATTGACAGTCAACTACCTATACCAACATGGTGCAATTTCTTTTTCGGTCGCACATCCCTAAGAACTCTAAAGTCAAGCCTCCTAGTTATTTATTAGGAAGCAAGCATATGAGTGAGGATACAAAGCATGCTAGAAAAATTCGTGTTGTTATGTTGGGACAATCTTGACTCTTCGAAAAATGGATAATGCATAGTTTCAAAATGCCTGTCTTAGTCCAGTTTAAAGGAAAAAGTGTTGAATGAGGGAAAGAAAGCAACCGCATTGTATGACTATCACCCCATTAGAGAAAGATAAAAAAAAAAAAAAAGGGGATAAAGATTAAAGAGTAAAGAGAGTGCTTAACAAATTAAATAAAGAGAAACCAAATGCAAAACCCATAAACTAAAGGCTAAAAAAGTGAGAGCCAAGCTGTCTCTTTTTCTCCACTTTCCTTTTAAAACCCACTCCCAAATTCCTCAGCCCTTAAACCCAAATTTCACCATTCAATTCCAATTCTGCAATTCATTTTTCAACTGTGAACAAAATGAGATCCATGAAAAGAAGAGATCCCAAAGCCATTGCCAAGCCCACTGCTCCGCCGGCCGATCTTCTCGTCTGTTTTCCGGCACGTGCCCGTCTCACCCTCCTCCCCAAACCCGCCTGCAGTCCGGCCAGAGCTCCGGCCGACTCCGCCCTCACCCGCCGCCACCACCACCCCAAGAAACCGCCCGCCGTTGCGGCGGCGCCGGCCCATGCGAGTCCTCTGCTGTGGGGTGCCAAGGAGATGGGGTCGGAGCCCACGTCCCCAAAAGTCACGTGCGCCGGCCAGATCAAAATCCGGCCACACGCCACCAAAAACTGGCAATCCGTGATGGAAGAAATCGAGAGAATTCACAAGAAGAAGAAAATACCCAATTCGAGAAATCGAAATCAAAATCCCCTCGGCTTCAAGAGAGAAATCGTCAATTTTCTCTCGTGTTTACGCGGCTTCCGCTTCGATTTCCGCTGCTTCAGAGGCATCCCCGAATCCGACGTCACAACAGAGGACGAATCCGAATCCGAACCCGAATCCGAATCCGAAGAAGAACCCGCCGAAGCTTCGAGAACCATGTTCTCGAAATGGTTCATGGTTTTACAGGAAGAAGAAGAAGAAACCAGACCCAGAAACGGCGGCGTTTCAGCGGCGGAGGCAGAGCCGTCCTCTGGCCCTCCCCCAAATGCTCTGTTACTGATGCGTTGCAGGTCGGCGCCGTCAATGGGGTGCCTCCAACGGAACCCAAAAGCAAAAGCAGAGGAAGAGCAGCAATCGAAAATTAGCTTGAAGTTGTTAATGGAGAAAGAGGAGGTGAATCCGAAGAATGAAAGCTTGGTGGTGATGGATTATGATGCTGATTTCTACAGACTTTCAGCGGATATTGCTAAGGAGACGTGGGTTGTGAGTGGATCCAATAAATCCAATGAATCTGATGACCCCTTGATTAGAAGTCGAAGTTGGAAGAGATGGTGAAGAAGAAGAACAACAACTAATAAATCATAAATTCTGTTGTTTTTTGTGAAAATTCCTCCGAGATGTGGGAAACCCAGATCAGACTTTTCATGATCTGATTTGGGTTTTTTTTCCTTCTGTTTTTTGTTGTTATTCTTCTTCAAACTTTGTATCAGAACTATGAACATATGTACAGTGAATTTTTGAAATGTGATTTTGTTTTGTGAAATTTTGTTGGGTGTTAAAATTGGAACCCCATTAACTTGAAAGCTTCAACAATCTGAGCTCTGACAGTATCATAAATTTGGGAAATTTAATTTTGGTTTTTTTTTTCCGTGGAAATTGGTATTTGGCACTGTGGAATCTAGATCTACCTTCCAGTAAACAAACCATATTCTTTCAGTGTAACTCCAAAATTCATAACCTTTTTTAATAAGAAAATTTGGTTTTTATGGTGTCAATTTTGATCGTAAACTTTTAATTTCACTCAATTATACCGAACGGTGTTATAATTTTTACCTTTTATTTAAGTTTTTGTTGAAAGAATTGTTTAAAAAAAAAACAAAACAATCGATTCAGATTAGACGGATTCAATTAAACAAAGGTCTTGATTAGGTTGACACTAAGATTCTTTTTTTTTTTTAATTCAGATTAGGGTATTTTGAAATATTTATTCAACTGTCAATTTCACCGATTGATTTATTTGAAGTTTGCTTTTCATTTATATTAGTGGCTTTTTTTACATATAATTTTTTTGTTGGAATGAGTAGATGATGGCCATACAAACATAAAAAAATTTGCAACAATTATATAAAGTTTGGTTGGAAGTATGAGATCTTGTAGTACCATATATCTTAAGATCTTGTGTTCGAACTTTCAAGTAAATTTAATATAGAAAATTAAATTTAATATAGAAAACTATTGATGTATGTCGAATCCGATCCTTAGGACATATATAAGTAATTTTGATAAGGGTAAAAAATTAAATAGTTATGGATTCGGATTTTAGAAAATAAATAAATTGTCGACGTCTAAAGTTCAATCTCATAAAGATATGGTAAAAATCGGCTCACTTTGTAATTGTAGGAATGAAAATTGAACCGTTCGGTTCATCTGTATAATTCATCTTCTTTTAATAAAAGAAAATGGGTGCTCAAAAGAAAAAGAAAAAAGAGAATGGGTTATGACTTGTAAATTATGATGACTACAACGCAGAGAGAAATGTCATTATTAAATATCAAAAATGTAAATATAAATACTCGTAATCATAACTTTTGGCTTCTTTAAGAAACTTTTCAAAATAAATAAATAAGGACTTCGGTTATATTTTTACTAAACATAAATATTCATACTAATAATTATATAGATTTGACAGCTTAACATTAATGAAAATACTTTTTTGTATTATTAGTGGGTCGGAAGGCTACTCTCATGTGTCACACGCATGGATCTGATGAAGTTTGAGCAAAGCATCATTATTTTAGAAGCAATGAAAGCTTGAAAATGGGATTTTTTAGGTGTTTTATCCACATCCCACCACTCCACTTTTCTCGCTCGATGATATCCAAAGTACGGTGTAATCCAAAAAGAATATATTGAGGACAATTAATACTCACGTGATCTTTCGAGCGCGATATGATCTCATGAGAGAATATCATAGACAATTAATGCACGACAACTCTCTTATTACAGGTAGACGTGAATCTCGACTTTTTTTTTTTAGAAAATAAAATAGTTCTTACTTTATATTATATATATAGTATTACATGTTGTTTTTACAAATAAATTTAGTCATAATTGAAATAAGTTAAAGAAGAGATATACTACAACTTAGCACAAATTATTTTATATCTTATTTAAATCAATGTATAGTATTTATCTATGCAATTATTCATTTAATTGACAGGTCAATATTTTTTGTTGTGATATACTTAGGGAAAAAAATACTTTTGGAAACACTTTTGGAGGTAATAATGAGGCATGAATTATTATGCCCACTTCTATTACGACGACTGATAATGATTATTCCTTCTAATTTGGCTTTAATTTTTACTCTCAATCACCATTGTCCAGCTCCTACATTTTTCTCTCACTTCATATTTCCAATATAATCATCATTTTTTTTTTCAAAATAATAATAAAATAACTAAAGCATACTAGACAGATCATCAGTTAATGTGAATGCAAAAAAAAAAAAAACCATCACTTAATGTAAATTTATTTAATTTTGTCCTTAGTTATTTAATTACATTTAAGTTAAGAGTAAAATATGATTTTAGTCCTAATTTATGAATATAGATTTCATTTAGTCCTTACATTCTCAAAATATTAAAGGTTTATCTTCGAATTTGAAATTTAGTTTCTATTTGTTTCCTAGTTTCAAAATATTAACTTTTTTATTTTTGAATTATTACTAATACTCACTTGAGTCCTTGACATAACATAATTATTAACGAAATGTCCATTTAATATGAATTTATATTATTTATATTCTTATGTCATAAAAATATTTATTTTTATAATATTTCAACATGGATGAAAAAAATAAGAAAAAAATCTCTAACGAAATATTGACTAAAATTGAGGGACAAAAAAGTAGTTTATTTTTCCTTTGATTTAATTACTAAACTCGAAAACTCAAGGTTAAAAGTGTAATTTTGAAATCTAGAGAACAAATAAAATTTAGACTCAAAATTGAGGGACAAAGTTTATTTTCCCTTAATTTAACTACCAAAATTTACCCTGTTTCGAATCCTTGATTGGTAAGGAATTACAAATCATATTGATTTTTAAATCATTCTCCTTGTTTGGTGCGAAAAGAATGGGAAGGAATTTGAAGTTACAAGTGATTTAAAATCAAATTTTTGTCAAAAAAAAAATTTCCGTTCCAAATAGGTCGGATTTGGAATGATTTGAAATTAAAACATAAGAAGATCCAAATTTACTCTATTTTTAGGAGAAAAAATAGATTTTCTATTTTTTTTAATTTATTCACATCACTCCACGCTACACCCATATAATTATTTTCTGAATATTTTTCTATGCAAATTGTCAAGCATACTACAATTTTTTTTTTCTCTTTTGTCTTTCTACTTACGTCTTTTTGGATCACCATTCAACCAAAATCCAAATAGATTACCTATTTTGCCTGATGGTCTCGATCAGTTTTATTTTCTTTTTATTTCAATTTTATAACACTAGTCATGGTCAAAAGAATTTAAATTCCAAATAAAATGGATTTGCAAAGAGATAGGTAGTTTGATACATTTAAAATTTCTCTTTCATTCTTTTAAACTATCTCCATACATACATGTATATTAGTTGAAGTATTGTTTTGTAATTCTTTGTGCATGTTATTGTGTTTCATTTTTAGTATGACATTTGTTATGTTCGTTTTTTTTTTTTAAATAAGGAAGTATGAGCACAATAGTTCAAAAGAAAAATAAATGAAAAATACGAGGGAAAGTGGGTTAATGGTTTAAGTTTTTTTTAGTTATAAACATATTGATTATTTTCGTTTAGATTTAAAAATATATATTTCAATATAAATATTTACAAATATTTTTTGCTTTTTTTTAAAAATTTACTTAAAAGTTTTAATTTATTAAGTTGATTCTATTAAATGATTATATTTCATATGAAAATATTATACGATTATTAATATAATATTACAAAATTACAAGGACATAATAGTCAAAGATATACTTCTTTTCAATTTTTTTCAACATCCAAATAAGAAATTTTAATTAAAATTATTTAGAAACAATTTGGTTTCAAAGACAAAGCGGAATTTGAAATGATTTACTACGACGAGCAAGAAAAGTACAAAAACAAAAGGTATATATATATATATATAAAAGATATGTTCAATCAATCTTTACCCTCCTACACTATTTTTCTCATTCTTTTTTTCTCTTCTCATCTATTTTTTAGTACAAAAAATAGAAAACACGAGGATTTGAAACTCCAACCCTTGAAGAAAAATCACAATCTTCTAGAACTAAATCCTTTATTAAAAAAGAAAAAAACTAGTGAATTCTAAGCAAAATTTTAAAGGTCCCATCAAATTTCTTTCCACATTTACATTTTGGTAAACTGGTTCACAAGAAATTTTTCAAAGGATGGCCCAAAAAAGAAAAAAAAATCATAAAAATATATCTCAACACCATAATATATATATATCGAATGGGCTCTGTTACGTTAAAAAAAATTGCAGAGAGCAAATGGTTTCAGATTTCAGTATCATAACTGAATGAATTAATCAATAATATAATGATAAATAAATGAAAACCCGAAAAGTGAAGTAAAATAGGCAGAGACAACAAAGATAACTGCACTACACAGACCACACAATCAAGTACAGAAACATTATGGACTCACAACCCAATTAGTAGACTCCATAGTTGTTAAACCTAAAACATAATTACCCAAACCGATGACAATTTTCAATTTGCATAGTACCATATCCCCATCTTCTCCCCCACCAAGTGAAAGTATATGAGTTTTGTTAGAACCTAGATAAATTAAACCAAGGCAATGCTGCTCTCCCCGCCCGGGGGCTTGCGTACCCCGCCCAAGTAGTCTCGCGTCTCTACCTTCCCATCTGCAAATATGTCGCTGCCACTCATCTCTCGCAATTTTGCCACGCTCAACGGTTTCTCTGCAGACGATGGAGGAACGTCGCCTTTGAAGATGTCATTCCCTGATAGCTCTGAAAATTTCTTGTCATAAATCTTCTTTGCTGTCTTTACGGAAGGTTCTTCTCCGGGGATGGCATTTCTCTGGTTTGGTTTCCCATGTGCAAGAACAGAGAGATAATTAGATTAATTGGAAGTTTCCCATGGATCTAGGAAAGCAGCCAAAGTAGAATTTAACAAAGGGGGGTGAATGAAAACTAGTGATGTTACATCATCGCCCTATTACTGAGAAAAAACTTCAAAGAAAAGTAAACTAAACACTAACTAAACATAAAAGCTAGCAAACAACTACCGACTGACCAAAGCCATATCAGCCTACTAATGGGGACATGCTTAATCATTCAGAAAAAGTAAACCCCACATGGTGCACAATTGGTGATGATCGAATTGCACGTATTTTAACCAACTGGAATCCTAGGATTTCATCATTGTGAGCTTCTGGCACCATCAGGGAAATATGATGCAAACAACGGGGGAATTAGATAAAGTTGTTGATGCACCACCCTCAGGGATGAAGCAAGTTGCCCCCTCTTAAAAATTGAGGTAAATTCAAAAAGTACATATAAAATGCTTAAGATTCAGTATTCTTCCACCCTTTTTGTCTCATAAAGTGTTAGAGTAGAACCTGTATAAAAAGCTAGAATGTAAAATTTTGCTCTTTGAAGAAAATTTCTAGCTCTATCCACCCTTTTATTCATGCTGCCTGACGGGCGACGAACAAACAGGCCGAAGCAGGCTATGGCATGGCAGGGAACCTCACACCAAAGAATGTGATTTCTAAGCAAAATGGGTGAGTGTCGGATGTGGGTGTGCGTGCTTGTTTCTCAGGAGTGTCTTCTCAAAATAGAATTCCATCCTAAAAATTACTCGATTTCAAAATTTGAATGGAGTACTTACATTATGAGCAGGCTCCCCTATCTCGATGCTTCCTTTTAAATCCAAAGTGCGTGCAGTTGTTGGTCGGGGTAGAATTTCAGGAGGAGCTGCGAATATGTCATGCCCACTGAGCTCCTTGCATTTAGCATCGGAGAGCTGCTTCTTCAACTTTGCATCAGAGTCGCTCTCTAAGTTCCCACTCAACTCACGCTGCTTCGCAACCTCGGGTACAGTAGTGGGCTTTTTAGGAGAAACACTTCCTTCTTCACCGAATGAAATATGACTAATTCCAGCCATGGCTTGCTGCAGATGATCGAGCCATCAAGAGTGTTAGAAATGGCTTGACCAAACACAAATTTGCTCACAGCCACAAGTTAGAAATAAACTGTAATTAATGATCTTCGATGGATACCTGGTACATACGTATTCCTGTTTTATTCTGGGCAGGGTTGGCGCTTCCAGATTCTAGCTCATCATCTCCTTCGTTGGCAACAAAAATGCCACTGCCAGTCATCTCCTTCATTTTATACCCAGAACAGGGTTTCCTGGAGTGCGCAAATTTAAACAGTTTGATAATTTTAATTCAAATCACATGTTAAAATAAAGTGACGCGAGAAGGGAAAAAGCTCGATCATAGGGTTGTTAAAATGCCTTGAAAACCAGAATTGAATACAAAAATTTGAGATCCAATCATCAGTCATTTGAGATAAAAGAATATTACTACGAAACATCTAGGGGAAGGATAAAGAAATAGAGAAGAGAAAATTGATTTACCTAACAAATTCATAAACCAAACAAGTAGATCGGTGGCATAAAATTGAATGCAAAACAAAGGCAGAAGAAAGAAAGAAATATATAGAGAGTTAAGTACCGCTACAAAACTCAGAAGAACGAAAAATTGCAGAGAGCGAGAGAGAACAAAATAGCGCTCTCAATGTCAAGAAGGAAACAATAGCTTCCATTTCCAACCACCAGAATTCGTTAGCAGCTAAGGAAACGAAACGCAAACACAAATTGTCCAGAAGAGAAGAAAAGCAAAAGGAATAAAATAGTAAAGATTGGGAAGAAGAGAAGCGGAAGTAGATCTCATCTCACCTTTTGTTCAAGGTCTCAACCTCCTCATCCGTGACCTGGCCTCCAAACACCACCTTACTGATCCCATCGGAGGGCTACAGAGAAGAAAAGAAAGAGAATAAGTAGAAGAAAGAAGAAAGGCAAAAATGGTGGACAGGAAAAGATGTAGCGTTACCTGATGGGACCTGGGAGCGGAGCGAGTAGCAGAAGAGGGAAGGGCGGGGGAATCGGCGGCCGGAACTTCAGGCCAAGTGAGGAGATCTGCGGTGGAGGTGTGGGGCTTCCGAACAGGAGTGGTTCTGTCCATCGGAGAAGGGAGGAATTGGGATTTGCAGAGAAGCCAAAGAGAAGAAAAAGCGAAAAACGAAAGGGAAATTGGAAGAACAGAATGAAGTTATGGAGTTTGATCGGCTCGCTTGCAACGCACTCTGAGATTTTGGATTTGGTGTTTGTTAATGGCTTCTTCTTTACTCTGAACCTTGGAGGAGGAAGAAGAAGTAAGCAAGCAGGAGGGATACAGTGCAAATATGCCGTGGAACCAATGAAAATGACCGAAATGCCCTCGGGATCTGGAAGTTTCCTTTTCTTTTTTTTTTAATATATTTTTTCTTTGGTGCCGTTGGGAGGGAGAGTGGATTACAAGTGAGATGAGTATTTTGCAGCACTTTCTACTCTTTCTTTCTCTTCTTCTCTCTCTTTCTTTAAGATATTTGAATTTTGAAGCGCCATTTCCATTTATAATGTGAAACGTAAATTCCAATGGCCCGCACGTGCCACCAAAATGACTGTTACCTCCTTTTTGCAGATAATTCCCTGTTTTATAATTATTCTATTTTCTTTTTCTTTTCTTAGTTAAAATCAAAAATACATCAGATTGGGGTTGAGGATTTGATTTTTTTATCGATAAACAAGTTTTTTAAAACACTTTTAGTTTTCAAAATCTAGCTTGATTTTTGAAAAACGTTTTTAAAATGTTTCTGAAACAATCGGGATGTAAATGTTAAGGTCTCAATTTCATTAAAATATCTATAAAAATATCAATAAAATATCGATATCGATGAATATTTCTGTAAAAGTTAGAAAAATTTTTAAAATTGTAAAAATATTTTAAATGAACGAATAAACACTTTTCTATTTCTAAATTAGTTTAAAATAATTAATCTTAATATTATGTATATATTAGTGACATTTTGTTGATATTTTTCATATTTTGTCGATGAATATTTAAAACCATGGTTGATGAAAAAGAAATACAAGGATGAAAATAATGCTTACAAACTTAATTTTAAAAAAAACATAATGGTTATCAAATGGAGATTGAAATCTTGGTTATTAAACTTTTAAAATTGTATCTAATAAATTCTTGAGCTTTTAATATATTGCTAACTTCCAATTTTATGTCTAGTTTGTCCCGTAGTTATAGGAGTGTTTATTAAATTATTTAACTTTTAATTCCGTGTTTAAATAGGTCGTTGACTTTATTTGACATTTTTTAACAAACATATCTATCCATTAGATATATATCTATTTTTAAAAAAATATATTGTGTCTGCAAAAATTCTAAAATTCTTTTAATTTGTTCCCTCGTACATCTATAGATTTTAAACATGTTAATGTTAAATAGATTGATGACTATCGATTGAAATTTTTAGACATTTTCTAAACCCAAAAATATACTAAATATAAAATTTTAAATTTTAAAATGTATTAAAATATTTTTTTAAAATTTACAAACGTATTAAACGTAGACTAAAAGCTTTGAGAACTATAGTCGTAAATTAACCCCTTTTTGTTTTATATTATTATTTGATATCCCCCTCTCCTCTGGCCTCTAACAGTGAGGCAGAGAGAGCTTTTTAATTTTAAATTTTGAAATTCTTTCCAAATACCAGTGGTGGCTTTAAAAATATATATATAAAATTAAAATAAATAAGCTTTATGATTACAATAAAACAAAATTTCCTTGTTTTTCTCCCTTTTTTCTTGTATCATGTAAAAACAAAAATTAAAWTTCTTTTCTTTTCTTAGTTTGTGTTGGAAAGCGATGTGAATGAAATGCATCCATTTTGCTTCGCTTGGAAAATTAGGAATATCTGATATTCGGTATTCATTTATGTGTTGTTTCTTTTCTTTTCTTTTTATTTTTTTTCCTCGGTGTCTTCCAAAAAGGAATTTTCCAAATGAAAAAGCTATTCAGTTAAAAAAAAAAAAAAAACGATCGCTTCACTTCTTATTCTTACTTTTTAAAATCTAAACCATAGAGAATTTGAAAATAGATAAAAATTTATATGCTGAGTTTTAGGTAATTTACACCTAACACTAATAGAGGAGCACTTATTTTTATATATTGCCAATAAAAATATATGAAAAATAAAATAAAAGGAACTAGAAAGTCAAAGCTGCCAACCAAACTTGTGACTTTATGAGGGGTAGCCCCAAATGATATATTGTAATTGTACTAAACAACTCTCTCTCTCTCTCTCTCCTATTTTTTTTATTTAATTTTTATTCCCTTGGTGAGAAATTGCTTTCCAGAGAAAAATAAATGCTTATTTACAAAAATAATGAATTAAAAATTGTAGAAAGAAATAAGAATTGTGAAAGAAGGGGCATGTGAGGTAAGTGATTCTTCTTCGCTATAAAGTTTCACGTGAACTGATTTCCCTCCCATCATTACTTTTTCTTTCTTTTATTCGTTATTTCTTTTTACTAAAATAATAATAACTCTACCATTTATTTTTCTCAACAAATTAGATTAAACACGATTTTTCTAGTTTATATACCTTACATGTATATTCATAATGAAAGGGGATCAGTGGCTCAATTGATTAAAAGTGATAAATTTCTTAATAATTAGAGGTTTGGAATTTTCCAACTTCAATAAAAAAAAAAAAAATGTCTTCACAATCCAGCCACTAATTTGAAAACATATTAAATTGTAAAAGAAAAATCATTTAAAAAGAAGGCAGAGGAAGTTGTATTGAAATTCAAGTGGTGATTCTTTTTTTAATGGTAATTTTATATTCTCTTTTTGGCTCATTGGATTTTATTTTAAAATTTAATAACAAAAGAGGCCCACCATATAATATGCAAACAAGTCAGCATCAGAACTCAATAGTAGCTATTGAATACAAATTTATTGCATAATTAATGTTTAGTTTTAAATAATTGAATAATCTGTTTGTTTTCCTTTCTATTATTTTGGCTTCAATGATGAACTTCTAACTTTAAATAGCAATGGGATAGGAAGTTTAATAATTTTAAGAGTAGGTAAAAAAGTTTTTTAAAAAATGTGTAAGAAACRTATTGATTAATCCATTGCACGTGGATTGAGAAGCCCCAATGAATATGCCATTCAAAAACTCCTAAAAAAAATTCATTTTTTTTTTTTTAAGCTGGTGTTAGATTGTTGAAAATTTTGAACTAAATGTATAATTTTGTGTTTATTRTTATATTATTACATTTCTTTTTTAGTACAATGTGTGGGTGGAAATTTGAACTCGCGACTCTTTGGTTAGAGATACGTGCTTTAACCGTTGAACAATGTTCTTGACTTCTATTATTCAATTTCATCGTATATGTTTTAGACTTTTATTTAAATTTTTATTATTAAATATTAAAATTTATTAATAAAATAATTTTTATCCACTGAGTTGTAATTGTCCCTATTAAATTTAACAAGCTTAATAAATTCACTTCACGTCTCTTGATTCTTGAAAGCAAAATTATGCTCTTAAAAAACGATTATGTTAATTTTAAAATTTAACTATAATGTAAAAGAAAAAACATTTATACATATGTCTCTTTTGAGACCAACAAATAAAACAAGAAAGATGAGTTTTTAGCATGCAAAATGCATTGAAAATTCAATTAAAAATAAATGATGGTTAAGAATTAATATATATATATATATATATATATATATTCATTTATTTAAATTCTACAATAATTTATTTAAAAAGCCAATGCTACTATTTCAATTAATCATGGTACAGGCTTTTAGTTTTTAATGTTCCTTGAGAAGCTTCTATTCTGCAAGGGAATAATAGTATAAGGATATGGCCCAATTGGGCACCACAAAACAACTATTGCAAGGAATGTATATGGGGGCAATTTTGTAAATTCACATGGTGCCCCTCTCATGTTTTATGTTCGGTTTATCATTGTACAGCAAGAAACGACCATGTGATGTGGAACATCGTCTTTATAAACTTGAGAGCATTAAATGAGTTTACGATCAAAAGAAACAATTTTATAAATAAATAATTTGAACTTATACTCTATCATTTGTAATTCTGAACATCTTCAAAATAATAATAATATAAAAAAATTAAAAGGAAAGAAGAAATGTCTATACCATGCTCTAAACTTAAATTAAGGTTAAATTATATTTTTATTCTTAATACTTCAATTTAATTTCTATACTTTAAAATTTTCATTCTTACTTGTATTACTTAACTAAGGTTTATTAAACAATGAAAAATCAATCCTAACAAACGATTGGGATAATGAACATGATCTATTCCGCTCCACACTATAATTAAGCCATTTATTTTTCATTAAAACTTTTTTTTAGTACAACATATGARATGAAGAATTCGAACTCGCGATCTTCTAGTCAGACATAAGTACATTTATCTATTGGACTATACTTATGTTGGCAAAATAACTTTTAAAACTAATGTAACCAAATGCAACCAAAATTCATGTTTTCCACTTTTAATCCTACRTCCTTATAAATGTAGAATATTATGAAACTCTGAAAAATAAATATTTAGACTTAATTCACAAAAAAAAAAAAATATATTAAAAAAACTAAGAGGTATAATTTAATTTTAATATATGAATGGTTAAATAATTGAAGTTCAATTTTAAATCTAATAAACTATTAACTTATTAGACATATCTTAAAATTCATGGACATATTTCCTACAAAATTAATGAGTTTACGAATTTTTTTTAATATATTAAAAATATATATTAGACACAAAATTAAAAGTTTAAAAATATAATGAGTGATCTATTAAACAGAAAATTTAGAAACTAAAGTTTTAATTAACCTAAATAGAATAGAGAAAAAAACCTAATAAAAGAATAGAAAGGAGAGAAAAACAGTTGTAGGAGATAGATAAAGGGYCAATGTTTCTAAGGTTAATATGATTTGTACGTATTATCTTCCATCATTAAACATCATTTTCATTTTTCATTTTTTTCCCTTTAACTATTAAACCATTAACTAATGAAACAGGTACTAATCTCTTAATTAATTCAACAATATTTTGGTTGGTTAATTCATTTACCCATTGTATTTGAATAAAAAAAAAATTGTGGATGCTAAAAATATATGGTTGACTGATCAAATGATTTGCAGATTAGAGAAATCTTATGAAAAGTTCAATCAACAAAGACAATCTTGGTTAAAGGGACTCCAACAATAAAATCAAAGGTGATGACAATAATAGTTTTTTTTTTAACAGAACTTGTGTAAAAAAATAGTATCTCAAAAGATTAGTGAGAGTCTATTTATTAAGTGTCATAACTAAAGATCAAGATTAAATTCTTAAGAAATAGTTGTAGTCGGTCATAAATATGAATGATGTGCAAAGATTTGATAGTTGATAGGAATACCTGGTGTCGTTCTATCAAACTATCAATCTCCTCTCATTTAACAAATTTACACAATTCTTCTTATCAGTAAGATAGAGCATATCTTACTTGGGCCCAARTACTCCAAGTATCTCTATAATGGTATGATATTGYCCGCTTTGGACATAACYCTCACGATTTTACTTTTGATTTCACTCAAAAGATATTATATCAATAAAGATATAATTGTCTTCATCTATATACYATGGACCACTMTSTTCTCTAACTAATGCWGGATTTTGTTTCCRCATCTTGCAACCCCAACAGTTGAATACATCATCCTAAGACGAGCTTGCTACTACGTTCACATCCAATAGGTGYGATAATATCTAGTCCAACATGTGCTAGAATGTGGTAGAACTTAGAGTCAGAGATRACCTTGTTCAAATTGTGAATTCACATATTTCTTAACAATAGACACAATCATGTGTGTCCCTTCGAAAAGAGTTAGTTTTGTCATAATATAATAAACTACATCAGAMTTTAACTCATGTAAATGATATTAAAATAATAAGTTTTTAAGTATAGAAGCAAGTCTAATAAAATGACTATGAAGATGTAATAAAATTTTGTCTCGTCTCCACGCTAATGGATGTTTGATGGGGAGTGATAGTTTAGACTATTCAACTAATTTGATTAAAACTTACACAAAAAATAGAAAAGAAAAAAAAGAAAGAGGGATATCTTATGATAGTTCAGATTGTTCAACTAACATGCATTCATTTCTATTCAAGAAAAAAACAAAATTACTTAATCAAATATATAATTATATTCTTAATTTGAATTTTAAGTTAGAAAAGATAATCAACGTCGTGAAATAAAGAATGTTTTTTTTAATTATTTGGACTAAACATCAATTTTCCACTAACTAACAATAGAGTCCGATTCCAAAGGATAAGAAAAGGAAAAGGGAAATTAAAGAAAAAGAAAAAGTATTTATTTGTTATTGTTATTGTTATTGTTAATAGGATGGACTGTCGGCAGGGGATATGACGGCGACGTTTTGGAACATCAACTACCTAAAATCCGCCTTTTTTATTTTAAGAATATTAAAAATCCGCCTAATTAACGGGTTAAAGCAGCTGTCGTTTTGCTAATTCATTGGGGTGACATGTCGTCCGATTTTCAAGCAATTTCCGAAATTTTAGTGTAATTAGAAAACTCAAAATATAATTACTTGACCGAAATTAACTCCTATTTTTAATCTTTAAAGTTAATAGATGAAAAAAGGGATCCCTATCTCACATAAAAAATTAGTAAGGGACCGATAAATAAGTACTTCCAATCTATGGCAAGTCRTATTAAATACCAGAGTGTGATATCATATTTTTTTATCAAGTGATTAAGTATTAATATCTCTTTTTAAAAATTGAGTCGCAATTTTAGATGTACCAAACGTTAGTAGGATCCATTTTGGTCGGGAAGCTACTAGGTTCACTTGGTATATGTCATCATTGACGGGAGATGAGCGTGGTTGGAAAAAACTTATAAGATAAAAGGTGTCGGACATCAAAGCGACGTTTGTAAAATACCCTATGACGTTTAAGTCGGACCGAAATCTTAAGTTAGCAACAAAAAATGTGCAATAATCATAATTATAGTCGTAAGCAACGCATTAGAAAAGACACTAAATATAATATCATGACAGTAGATACACTTTTCCATCACTCAATCATGGTGAATTGATGGACGACAAGCTCCAAGCCACCAACACTAGGTGAGATCAACTAATGACGGCACCACACCACATTAAAGAAGCTTCGATGCACCACCAAACCTCTCAAGCTCACACATTCTCACTCGAGTGTCACGTCTTATCTTGATGTCACCTGATAAGTCTCATGGTTTTGAGAACCGAGTTAACAAGTTGAGTTAGATTCATGACGAGTTTGAGAAGCTTGGACCATAGATGGATCGAAATCTCGATTTATAGTTAATCATAGAGGAACCACAAAACAAATTCTGTCGAAAAGAAGAAAGTGATTATAAGAGCATCTTTTGAAGCACTAGAAAGTAAAAACTTGTTAACCATGGCCTAATATTGTAGATTTTGACCCGCAGTGATAATTATGAACTGTTGGGTGCTTCTATGGCTAGGGGGATGTTCTATTTTCATCCCAAATTTGTATAAAGTAGATCGAACTGGTCATCTCTATACCAAGCTCATCAATTGTCAAAACAAAAAAGCAAAAACAATCATTTTTTACTTTTACAATTTTTTTTATTCAACCATACAAGTATAATTATGTTATATTTTAATTATTTGTCACAAAATCGAGAGGAACACAGCTTTGAAAGTTCAAAGAAAATCGTACAAAATAAGTCCTAAAAGATAAATCAAAAACTTTTTATTACATGTTTACATGAAGATTTTCTACGAACGCCACACAATGACCAACTTTCGTCCACAGAGTAACTAAAGCAATCAATCGAACCATGGTAGAAACAAATTAACTACAGAAGGTGTGATGAATAGGGGAATCCAATAAGACAAGATACAAACTCAAAGCAGAACAATCAAATTCATTATACATCTAAGGAGCTAAAAACCAAACACTGGGAAGACTCATATTTTGCAAGTAAATAGTACAGGTGCTACAATTAAATCTCAAAAAAAAAAARGGGGGAAATAACTCATGAACTAATTAGGAATAGGATCCTACATGTGAATCATCTTGACATCCAACCAGTCCTGGGAGTATAAAAGCAGATACTACAATGGTGCAAAATATCTTGGCATCCAAGCCATTGGATGCAATACTTGTTCCATCATTAAATGCATAGATAATTTCTAAAATCCAATGCCTTGCCCTTTGCTCTCATAAATTATCTCTATGGCACATCATATGGATCATTCCTGCAGGCATATTTTGGCTATCACTAGACAGACACCAGATATATAATTAAAAAATAAAAAAGAAAAATCATTAGCAATAAAAATGGCAGGCTAACTCACATCAGCATCAGATTTAGCAGGAGAAGGACTTCGAGAATCAACCAGTTTCGGTGAAAGTGGTGAGCCATTCTCTCGCTTTGGTGAAAGTCCATCATCGCTTCTACTCCTAGATGGAGACCTACGCGGAGATATGCTTCTCCGTGTATTGGGGGAACGCCGGGTGGGTGACATGCTTCAGTATCAAATCCATTTCCATTTAGAGTGCAAAGCAAAGAGAATGAAAATAATTAGAATGAATGAAGAATAAGGACCTTGCTTTGTTCATGGAAATGTGAGATGTCCATGAAATTWTATGAAAATTGTGTTTGGATATGCTCAAGAAACTTAAAATAGGATATATAATAATAATGTTAGATAATTGACTTTGGTGTGCGAGATGTTATAATGGAAAAGTTCTTTTAAAAAATAATGACTAATAAAATATTAAGAAAGTATTTGAATACCTTCTATCAGAGTTGCTTATACTACGTCGTTCATCATCATCTCTTCCCCTCCTGCGATCTTTGTTGCGATCAGGACTAGCACTGCGACTCCTACTTCGATGGCGTTCTCTCTCTCTGTGGGGTCTATCGCGATCATATCTGTCCCTGCTTCTACTGCGACTTCTCCTCCTATGATCTCTATCCCTATAGTCATCACGGTGCCTGAAATGTTTTTGTCAATCCATGAGTATGAGAAGRGTAGAATAACAAGCTAAAAGTAATGAGGTAGCAATCAACTGCTTGTAAACATTAGAAACTCAGACTAAGACAAGCCTTCTAAACCATTCTGTCCCTGCCCCATAAAAAATTGTCTCAATAGTTGTTGATCAAATACAAGTTTGTAACAAACTTAAGATAGTTTTTTATAATGTGTAATTTACTCCGAAGTCCAGTTTCTGAAAAACAATGTTGGAGACAAAAGAAGTTACTTGTAATGGGAGAGTGTCATGAATATTCTAAATTAGATGTCCATRGCTCCCATAGCCCCATTRACCCCCATAACTCTCATGTCTCCGCTTTATGTTGGTTTTTGTAACCTTATAAACAGTTGTTGTATGGAGCATTTGTGAAATACATCTCACAACAACTCAATAGAGACATCTCATATTTGCTCTACTCTCTTCTCTAGTTCTCTTCATCTCTTCTCCATCTTAGGCTCTTAATATTCTCCTTGTTTTTATTTTGTTCTAGTTTTATAACAATTTGTAGCTTTTAATCTTTTTCTTCAAATATAAAACCGCACAGGATTTTTTTTTCTTTTTTGATACTCATGAGTCATGAGTGTCAAAGCCCACTTAAACATTCACTTTTAGGTAAAAACAGCAATCCCAAGACTAGCTTTCCATTTCGACTAATCYCACAGCACGGCTCCTACCCCTATAACATTTGATTGTCAAGAAATTTGCTGGATATTATATTATGTGATGGCTATCATGAGTTTGAACCCCCTCCCAAAGTCCCTTTACTTTTTCACATGCTCTAGTACCACTAGATCAATCCACGATAATTAAAACTACACTATGCATTAAAATTCACTCTGTTGATAAAGGTGACTCGTGATCACATCATGCCCATTCACATTTCAAACTAGAATAATTGCAACAACTTGCTTCCTTTGCTCTTTTTGTTTAATCTTCTCCATACMCCACAAAATTTAGAACATAATGGATTCAAGAGATTAATGACAGGAAGATGTATCACTACTGAATTTAGGTGAGCAAAATGACAAGGCCAGAAGTGATTGCATCTATGAACCAACTCAAGAAAAATACTTTCTAGAATTTCCTAATAGCATGGCGCAGTAAACACCATACAGCACTGAAATTTCAGCACCCCATAAAGAGACACATGTTGAGTAAAGGAATAATTACAAATCACGCCCTTATAGTCTGTCTATTTAACAAAATACCAATGTTTCAAACTAGTTTTGATCACCCATATGAGGTCATCAACATCAACTGAGATTAGTACACAAAGCTAATTCTATGCGCAAGAAATGTAGCAATTCCATTAGAACAATAAAAGGATGCAAATCAATATCCTAAAGGACSTGTAAACTAGCAAGGAAGTTTAATTTATCCATAACCCGAGAAGAACTGAAGAAGGCATTACCTCTTTCACTCTATATGACTATGCGGAAGAGTACATAGATTTCTGTTTTTTGGATTCACAAGTAAATGAGGGCAATTACCTCGAGAAAACATAAATTTCTTCACCAGAGCTCTGATTCGAACTCCAAGTTCAGATGCATTTAGACAAGGAGTCTCACCTTGAACGTGGACTGCGGCTCCTTGACCTGCCCCTTGGCTTTGACGATGATTCCATCACCCTCCCCTTGCGACTGATAAACAAACCAAAAGGGCGAGAATCAAAACATACTTGTGCGTATTAGAATTTGAGAAATTATGCAGTTGAAAGGGTGAAGATTTACATTTTCTCTGCATTGGGTCCATACTTGGCGAACTGAACCATAATTTCTCTGCCATCCAACATTCGCCCTAAATAGGAAAGCAGAAACCCAATTTGATTTGGCATAAAAACAGCAGCTAAAGTTAAATTGAAAAAAGCTGAAGGTTATAAGGTGTGTTTTTGGTCGGACTGAAGCTGACCGTCAAGCTTGTCAATCGCCTTCTGTGCTTCATCCGCATACTTGTACCGAACAAACGCAAATCCTCGGGAATCCCCAGTCCTAACAGCAATTACCACCAACAAATTACACATCAAAAGAAGAAGATTAAACGCGAGAGAGAGAGAGATAAAGGGGGAAACCTTCGGTCTCTGGGGATGAAGACGTCAACGACCTTTCCATACTTGTCGAAAAGGGGGTAAAGATCATCGGCGGTGGTTCCTGAGAAAAACAAAAAGGGGAAGAAATTAAAGGAAAAAAGAGATGGAGATTGAGAGTGAAGTAAAGATTTAGGGTTGGGAGATACGGAAAGTGATGTTGAGGACGAGGAGGGAGTAGGTATCTCTGATATCGGGAGGACCCGATCTCCCGAAGTGCGACATTTCTGTCTCTGCAAATGCAAATTAATGGATTCAGCTGAGACTGAAAGTTGGAGAGCTGAGAGCGGAGCGGCGGATTCAGGGCTCACCCTCGCCTAGGGCTCTCATGGAACATGGTGGAACTTCAAACTTCAAAGAGATTCCAATCATTTTTTGTATTTCATAAATGCTCCACAATTTCGACTAAATTCGAAAAATGGCCCTCTCTTCTTYAAATATATTTTTTCCTTTTAACTTAATTGTACAAAATATCCTTAAATCTTTATATATATTTTTTAATTTGTGTGYCAAGGAAACTTATAATTATTTATAATATAATTAATTATTATCAGAATCTTTTACCTTAGGTGGCAAGTTTCAATTATGCCCCTTAATTTTATGGTAGGTTTCAATTATGTCATTGTCATTTTCAAATTTCATTTTTACCCTTTAACATGTGATATTGTTTCTAAACAAACTTCATTAATTTGTTRGATTTKGATACTATTTAAATTGTTTCATTTCAAAACTAATTGACAATGAAAAGAGTAGCTCAKGTATATTATATATATCTGGTAAGTCTCTTATATTTTAAATATGAGATCGTTACAATGTTTATGGTTAAGGGTTGAAACAAAACTTTTTCAATGATAAAGGTATAATTGAAAATATTATAAGTTTAGTGGCATGAATGAGATTTGGAACTTTTAACGAAAAATTTGACGAAATGATAGTTTTAAAATAAGTTAAAGTTTAAGGGTAAAAATGAAACTTTTAAACATCTAATGATCTTATTGCCTGCTTTATTTTAAGCAGAAACTATAATTTTTCTTGTTTCCGAAATTAGTCCATTTAGATCAAGAGTTTAGTGTGAATTTTGTGTAATTATAAGTTCAAGTATTTTAATCTTTTTTTTTTTTTAAGCAGAAGTTCAAGTCATCTTGGTTGCTTTAGTTTTATTTATTCAATCAGTTTACTTCATTTTTAGTCGATTTTTTCACAATATCAATTTAGTTTTTTTTCTTAAGTCAGTTTAAATTTATTTTCAAGTAGACTAGTCCGATGTTTAATTAAAAAAAATGGTTAAAAGTCATCCTCATGGGCTGATCAGCCAAGCTTGTAACTTTTATATTTATAATTGTCGATATTAAGATAATTAATTTTGTTAAAAAATATATGATTTAAGAAAAYTAAAAATAGTAAGTTTTTTTTTCGAGAAATATTAAAAATAGTAAGTTATCACATATTTATTTACATAATTAAATAAATAACTTATTTGTTTATATTGTTCATTACAAATAAATAATGTAAAAAGTATATAAGAATTTAAATATCGAGTCAACCCATTTATAAAGTCAGGTGAGGTTGGGCCCGCACTGCAGTGGGTTTGGGCTGGGYCAAAGTACTGATTTTAAGGGTTGAGTCCAATGAGCGTAGGCTCACTTGGCCCAGTTTGCCACCCCAGCTTACTAGCAATATTTTTAAAGGACTAAAAATTATAATATAAATAATTGAAGAATTTTCATTTTTCCTTTTTGGAATACAGATAAGGGGAGGTTATTTTATTTTTTATTTTTGTTATATCCATGAGTATCCATTGTCAGCTCACATGCACTTCARCTAATCTCATGAGATATTCCCTACAATATTTGGTGTCGAGAAATACATCCTAATTAATTTATAAGGTAAGTGACCATAAAATGTTAAAAATTCACAGAAGGTTATTAATAATGTCGAAATTAATTTTGTCAAAACAATAAAATAAAGAAAACACAGAGTCGTGATATATATATAGTAAGAGCCCTTGTGCTCATTTAGATTTTTTTTTTTCTGGAAAGAATTAGATTGAATAGCATTGGGTAGTGGGCAAGACTCTAAATAAATTATTTTCTAAGCATAATTTCAATTTTCTCTATTTTTAAAAATATATTTAGAAAATGTGATTTAGATAAACAAAATGCATTATATAACACAACACAAACTTTAAACAACATATTCCAAATATTGGGATCAAGTTTAAAAACGGAAAGATATGCCACGACAAATATCG